AAATATATTCAATCTCATGTGATCTCCCTCCACAACACAAAGTAGCCATAGTCACCGGAGCATCTCGAGGCATCGGCCGAGCCATTGCTCTTCATCTGGCCTCACTTGGAGCAAAAGTTATCATCAACTCAGCCAGAATTGCGAATCCCAAGAAACCCAAACCCACCATAGCCAACACTTCCGTGGAGGATTTCGACACAATTTTTGGGTAAATCTACGCTAAAAAGACAGCAACGATTAACATGAGTACGTTTGTAATAAATGTTTGCACTTTGCAGTGTCAATACTAAAGGGGCATTCATATGCTGCAGAGAGGCAGCGAACAGGTTGAAGCGTGGTGGCGGTGGGCACGGATTGTTAGAGACATTCACTAATATAGAATCTCAATCACAGCGCTAAATCAATCACTAACCGTTAGCTAGTCGCTAGGCACATTTATTTCTTAGTTGTTTCCTTATTCAATTCCGTACTGTTAGTTTAGAATCTTTTGCGTTACTTAGCTTGTCTAGCATTGTGTATATATATATATACTTGAATTCTTATGAAATATATGCAAAAATATTATTTTTCACATGGTATGAGAGCAGAATTGATCCTTTAGAATTTTATTTTTGCTGTCCAAATATAGCTGGCCTTAGGGCCGAAAAAGAATCAGTGAAAATTCCCAGCAAGTTTATTGGCAGCTCAAAGACTTCTCCAGCTCTCTTCTATTCTTGTAAGAAATTTATGAATTTGTATTCCTCTCTCAATGATATTTTTGGTAAGAATATCATAAATTTATCTGGTTGAATCTTAGATAGTGGTGCTTCAAATCAAGTGATTGGCTATAAAAATACACTTGAAAGATTCTAAATTTAAATTGTACGACATAAAAATAGATATGCGTAAAGGAAAGGTGAAAATTACCTTTCACTATGCAACCTAAAAGCAGAAAATAAAAAAATGATGATCCCAATTGATACAAGTTTACATTTATGGACTCACCCTGAATTTCCGCCATTCCCTGGGCCGCCCTTGACATCTTCGCTTAAGTAATACATGCATCATGGATTACGTTTGGAATATGCATCATGCGAATCCAACATTCAAACTTAATAGTTCGATCTCAAGTTTTAAGTGTTTGGGTGAGATGATCAAAGTTTTGAGCTCTACCGTCATCATGAACTCCATCAAAAAGTGATTTGATGGTCACGCGCCATAAGGAGGTGAAATATTCACTCGGTCTGAAAACTAATTACTAACAACTAATTCATACTAACTTTTTAATCATTACCCTTGTAAAAAAAAAAAAAAGCATCATGCAATGCGTACGCAAGGATTCTTAGTTATTAAACTTAAATTAAGTTTAATATTGAAGTTTATGCAGCCTATCCATTTTGAATGTTTTACTTTTCCATGGACACATTTTATAAGAACTTATTTCATAGGACGCTGGTGTAGCTACATATTATTTTGTTAAAAATTGGATAAAAATTTAATTTAATTAATATTTTATTAATTTATAATTGTTTAAACTATT